TTGAAAATTTATTCTCTTGAAATTCATTTCATTATTATTTACTGATTCATCTATTTGACTCACAAAAAGAAGCAAAATATTTTCTTTAAATCAATTTTGCAGTTATTTTAGCCCCAAAAAATTATTTGAACATCTGACATCATACGGTTGAGCAAGTCCAGAGAAAGATCACAGGAACAAGAATACAGCACATTAAGTTACATACCCAGTAGCACACAAATGTCAAAGCCGAACAAATGGAATAATACACACACACACACACACACACACGAGGCAAACACAAATCAATATATCATCTTACTTTGGGATATTTCCATTTCCCTGGACATTTCCTGGAATGGGCTCAATAGTTAAGGAGTTGTTCTGAACTGTGGCAAGGACTCTGGAGGAAAGCTGAAATGGTGAAATATATTCGTTTGATAAGAGCATTGGCCCAGGGGGAAAATCAAATGCCACATGCTTTGGGTGTATGGAAAAAATATTTTGTTTTGGTAAGGGCAAACAGAAATGATATTCATATGATAAAAACACTGTAAAAACAAATGTTACAGTAATTCAATATTGAGGTTAGGATATACATTTCTTTTCTGATAAAAACCAAGATACAATCCCTATTTAGGTCTGGGAAAGATTACGTTAAAGCAACTTTCTTTTTGTCATGTTTTGTACCAGACTGAAGTACTCTAAACTGTGTAAAAGTAAGTATTTAAATAACTGACATATATGGGTTACAAACAGTGGGATAAAGAAAACTACTATATCAGTGCACTTTTCCAACAAAACAACACTGCACTTCGGTCTTGTTTATTCAAGATAGAGCATGTGCCTTCGCAAATGAATGCAAGCACAAAGGATGGAAAACATCCATATTCTATCAGCAAGACTTGATTTTATCATGCATACAATGCCAGCACCAGTTTAGTGTGACAAATGCGTCTTGATATTCTACGGACAGATCAATCTGTCTTGCATGTATGCATTCACTGGATTGATTAAATTATCAGTACTTGCAAATCAGATATTTGTTTTCAAGTCTGCAATTTGTTGGGCAGGAAATTATAACAATGATAATGCTCAGAAATGTCTTCTTATTAAGCCAATGTTATTGCAAATCGGTGTAACATCAGAACTTGTAGGTGATTCACTTGCGTCACTGTTGACATTAGATATGTTAATAACCTTTGAAAATAGACCTCTTAAATAATTAACCAATGGTAAGGAGCTCATTTACACAATTCATAAGTAATATCTTTAGTGTAGAAAAAAAAAAGGAAATTGAGTAGATAAGGACTTACTTCTTTATTTGTAAAGCATAAACATGGAATGACATCTTCTTGTTCTACTCTTGTGATAAATGCATTAGAATTATTGTGATTGGGATCCTTTTTCCATTCTCTGAATTCGTGCAGGAAGATTGGGTCAGCCTGAAATACATGTAAATTTATATATAATTCATTTTGGATTCTTTCAACTGAACACGCAGTCTATTTCAATTCAAGATGTTAATGCATGTACCAAAAATGCAAGTTATAGAAGTAAAATATCTCTGCCTTGCTGGAACAGAAAACATAAGAATACGAGTCTATTTTTTCTGCCTTTGCATTCTCTCTCTCTCTCAAAAAAAGTTATTTACCTCCTTTTTCTGTATTTCCTCAGATTTCACAGGCTCCACAGCTACTGCTTTGATGTCATGATGACTTGTAGACCTAAAATACAAAAGAAAAAGTAAATGATAACACCACAACAAGAAACACAATTTATTTTTCTTTTCAGATCTTGAGCTTTGAGAAAAGGCCATGCTGAATTCACATAATCATGGTTGCACTGTTCAACCCACAGTGTCGTCACAAGCTCACGATTCCATTATTATTTCTTTCAAAAGTAACATTTTATATGTACCAACAGATATTCTCACAGCTCAATTCCAGCATCATTTTTTTCTCAAATCACATCTGCTCAAAATCAATGATTCCATTACAATTTTTTCAAATAAAAGATAATGACAAAATAAATAGAACAGCAGATTTTATGCTAAATACACACATACCTCCTGTGTCCTTTGATAAAACTAAGCTTGGGTGAAGCACTGCCCTCTTTCTTTTTCTTTTCATGCTCCAGCTGAGGATGAAGGTGTTTATTTGGCATACTGGGGGTGGATGTGATCACTAAGGCTTTCAGGGCCACGACCTCTGCTTGTAAAACCTCTATCTGTTCACAAAATATACATTATAAATAAAACCTGTCATACTTTTTCAACTTTTATTGCACTAGAAGTGTTTACAAGTGCTTTGCTTTATTCAAAGAGAAAATTTATTTGCTAAAAGGAAAAGAAGAAATGGCAACTTTATTTGAAGCTTTGATATGAAGTAGATTAGTGTGACCCATTTTAACCACTTTTCCACTGAAGTCAAATAAAATTTTAAGTTAAATTGTGTCATGTAAATTTTATGATCCCTTTCATGATTCACATCACATTTTGCCAACACTTCTTACTTAACCA